GATTCTTTGATTGACTGATTGATTGATTGATTGATTGATTTTGATAAAGATAACTAAGTGCATTGTATAGCAATGACCCATTTATTTCACGTAATCCTAAAAATGCTCCCAGGGAAGAAACAGATGATATATTTTTATCTTCATTTTACAGAGGAGAAAACTGAAGCTGGAAAATGTTAAGAAATCATTTGGATCTTTGAATTTGAAATCAAATGAATTTTCTTGGCAAATTAGGGAATTTTTCAACCCTAATTTAGGTCACAACTTCTGGCATGTTGAAATTTTCTTGTTTACATTACCTGTTGACATTTGTATTTACCCATTTATATTTCAGATTCCTGAGATGGGAAAATAAATAAAGAGGAATCAGTTCCTCTGAGAAGAACATGAGGTTCATGTGCCACCTTAATTTCAACCAGGAGGAAATACATTCATAACAAAACATAATCACAGTAATATTCAAAATCAATTTAAGCAAACAAGAGTGACATAATTAAAGTCAGAGCTCGAGGCCTCTTTCCAAGAGAATAAAATAGATTGAAATAACCACCCCAACAAAAATATAATTAAATTAAATATGCATGCATGTTGTTGAAGAATAATCATTACACTAGCCCCCAAAGAAAAATTTATTTCTAGTCAGTTAAAAAATTTGTTACTTATTTTTCCCCCCAATAATTTAGCAATTTTGAAAGGCACAAAAATGCATCTGAGGTTAAAATATGAAGGTGCCAATGACAGAAAACTGGATAGTTTGAGATAAACCCAACAGCTACCACATCACAATCATAATTTTCTCCTCCACCACATGCTATCTGCCCCCCACGCGCTTCCATTTCCTCCGAAATGCAAGTCTATATGCACTTCACATTATCTAATCATGGGGTGCTTTTTTTTTTTTCCCTGTTACATTAGGATTTCTTTTATTTGAGTTCGGGAGGAAGGGGTTCGTCCCACAAGTTAGACATTCGCTCAGGGCTGATTTTACAAACAGTGTCCTGCGATCCAGAATGTTCATTCTCGGGTCTTCTATAAGAAATAATATTTGCACTAATAAATGTTTCCTCTGCTACTATTAGTGAAGCAATTAGGCCTTCCCGACACTCCTGCCATGAGCGCAGGCTGATCTGCAGGCGGCTGCCGGCTCCTGGCTAATCAATCACGTTTCTCAGCTGCATTGTCAATCAGAACCTCGCCTGAGTGGCCTCTATTGACAATCTCAGCGTGCGGATGCCTTCCCGCTCCCTCACCTCTTTCGGGTTCATGGTAATACAGACTTAGAGCCTGCTGTTTTTTCATCATAGAGTGGAATTTTTTCATTTTTCTCTGCTTGTGTTGGTTCTTTCCCCCTGTTTTATCCTTTCAAGACTATCTTAGAAAATACAGTATTCAACATGAATCCCCCAGAGTTCTTCCTGATGTGACTTCAATATATATTATCCTGTATTTCATTTATCTTCCTTCTCCTTTACCTTTAGACACCTCAGACTACATCCTGCCAATCCCTATACAACCTAGAAACATCTGTACTCCATCTTTTCCTGTTTCTGACCTAATATTTATGACTTCTCCTCAGTGTCCCGAAAGCCTTAACTAATTGTCAACTGGGAATGGCATTGTTTACCCTGGGTCAAAATGGACCCTAATTATGTTTATTTTTCACTGAATATTGACAAATTATAATTGTTGTATTAATGGGGTAAGAAGCGATGCTATGATATATGCATCCAATGCAGAATGACTGACTCAAGATAACATACCCATTGCCTCAAATACTCATCATTTATTCCTTTTAACTGAAACTTTATACCCCTTGATGGACATATCCCCATTCTCCCAGCCCCAGAATATTCCTAATTTTATCATCAAACTGTATAGGCAGCAACTTCACAAGCTCAATTTTTCAACAGTACCCCAAATCTCAAATAATCGGCTCCTTGAACCAATTTTAGAAAATCTGGCCACAGTACACTTAAATGAACTTATTTTAAGTAGTTATGGTATTGACATCTTTCTATTTTGTACACTCCGAAAGTGATCAACCCTAGGAAAATGCCTATTTCAATGAGAAATTGGGTCTTTCTTTTTCTGTAAACTAAAAGGAAAGCTTACTTGTCGAATGGCAAACTGGAGACAAAGGCCAAGGCTCATTTAGAATGTGTTAGTTCATCCCCCTCCCCCCACCACACCAGAGCAGTTGAAGGAGGCCAGAAATGAGCTGGCAAGAATGCACATACCTGACTAACCTCATCCACCCTCACACTCCAAGAAACCTCAGCCACGACAGCATAAGGGGTATTCAGGAAGGATCCTTTGCTCTCTACTTCCCACAAATCTTGGATTCACATTTTCTTGATTTTCCTACTCCTGATAGGCACCTTCCTCATTCCATCCACTCACAAGAAGCACCCAAGGCAACTTGTTATTGGTACTTTGACAGCTTTTTTCACACAAACAAATATGGGAATGTGATTGCTTTTTATGAAATCTTTCCATGAAGAGAGATACTGGTCAGCATGAAAAGCATCAGTGTACCCAACAGTCTACTGATGGAAAACCAAAGAGTTTCCTGCAAGGAATACCTCTGGAGATATTTGAGCTATATTTGTTAAAACGTTATATTTGTTTAAAAGGCAGCACAAACCATGGTATTAACACAGCTGAAGTAGAGTAGGTCAACTACAAACAGGAGGCAGCCTGTGGAAAAGGTGGCAGGGAGACAATAATGATAATTAACAATTATCATCATGGATAACATGCCAGACCTGGCACTAAGCACAGAACATGCATCTCTTTGTAAATCCTTACTACAGTCCCATGAGATGGATCCTGCTGCTAGGCTGAGCCACCAGCTGGGAAGCAGTGGAGCCAGCACTTGAATCCAGACTGTCCACTCCAGTGCCCCAGTTTCTAAGCACTTTGCTATTCCGCCTAGTTGGTCTGGGTTCAGCCCTGTCCAAGGAGCAGGTTATAATGTCCCTAGATTCCAAGCCCTCCTAGGCAAACACCCTTTGTTTTGATTCTATATCTACCAAATAGCCTTCAGATATAATTTGGCCTCTACTATCAGGACAACAGGGAGAGTTTTGTGAGTTATTTGAGAGTTGTTTCTGTTTCTGGAAAATGATCACTGTAAAATGATGAGCTGGCAGTTTCCTGCCTGCCTCAGTCTCCTATTCAGTTACAAAAGCCACATGCCTTAGGCCTGAGCACTCCCCACCGGTCTAAGGTGGGCCCATATTCCAAGAGCCCCAGTTCCACCCAGTCCTCCTTAATTCAGTATAAAACCTCCACCTGTTCCAACATCCTGTTTCCACTTTCTTCCCCCTAGACACCACAGTTCAGTTTCACTCTTAAGCTATGGGAAGGTGGCAAATGCTCGTTAACACTTTGATGACTTTACCTTCCATCATTTCACCCATATGCTCTTTTCCTTCTCTCCATATAAATACATTTTCTTTAAAAGCAAATGACTCCCTATGAGCAGTACTCCTTGAAACTGGTTGTCCATGGTTTGTGCTGCCTTTATATATCACTACTACATCAGCTTGCCTTTGTTCACTTTCTGGCCCTCCAAAGAAGAAAAAAAGTAACACTTGAGCTAGACCTTTAGTCATCATGCCAACAAAATTCTATGTCAAACTCTAAGTCTCTATATGCTCTGCCCAATACTTAGCTTTTTCCATGTCCTGGACAGATCATGCCCCAAAGAACCGCCTTGCCCACAACCATCTAAGGATCCCTCAACATGGGCATGACTTGACCCCACAGGAAGGCCCAAGAACCAAAGGGAGCCAATCTTAAGGTCAACAACAACTTATCAGGGCCTGATGTGAAAAGTGAGCTCAGCCCCTCAGGGTCCTCCCTTGGCAGTTTGGCTGGGAAACTCTGGAAGCAGGAATAAAAAAGAAGTACTGAGGGCAAAAGGGGACAAGAAGTTGGGTTTGGGGCAAGCCATGCACATACTGACGTGGCAAGGGGTGGAAAATCACAGTATAGAGGGGAACAGACTGCTTGGAAAAGAGTAGATGTGGAAAAGCATATGCAAGGGATTCTGGTTCTCATTAACAGGATTTTTATAAGAAAGGATGAAGGATGCCTGGGGCTTGGGAGGAGGAGGGAAGAATATGCAAGCATCAAGGAAAGTTAAGGATGAGCAAATAATTGACCCAACAGATACTGCAAAATTCTCTCACTTGGCTTTAAGCATTTGTGTATCATAGTTCTTTAAGTTTAAAAAAAGCAATCCTGATGCCCTCAGTAACACACATAATATCCTAAATTCTCACCAAAGACAAAATTTTCCTGTCAGGACAGTTAAACTTCTCATCTAGTCTTAACTAGAGTAAAAATGTATCTTTCCTTTACCAGGCATGGTTTTATATTTTATTCCCAAATTTATTTCATACTCATGAACTTATCCTGTCACTGCTACTTGCCTTCATCCATTACATACAATTGTCACCCCAAAAGGTGAGGTTCTCCACTTTTATCCCAGCCCTGATCTGGGATTATGAAACTCTTCCACAACACCCACCCCCCCTCTGCCACCACCATCAGTTTCCAGAAATAGAGTTTTCAGAACATATTTCAATTATGGCTGCTTAAATGACCCCTTCCTCTGTTCTTGCTGAATCCTCTATTTTGGAAAAGATGGACATTGAAGGGGGTTATTGAATAGTCAAGTCAAAACTAAAACTAAAGCACAGATTCCAAGCCTTGCAGAGTGCACAGAAATGGTTTCCTGCCTTAATGGAGCTGCGAACACAATAGTGTAAATGTAGAACTTGGCATGTGGCCCGCAGATCTCATTATTTTACAATTATACACAGATGTCAAACATCAGTGTTGGCATTTAAAGCCTATGGAGTTGGTGATGTTTAAAATGGTTCGCGTCTGCCTTCTGCAAAGTTAAAGTGAAGAGAAGACAGGTCTGTTTAACACAGCATGTGTTTTTTCCTAACCAGCCAGTGACAAGAAAGACTTATACAGGTACTTACTATTTATAACTCATGGCCACATCCACGAAATACTTCCTTCTCTGTCGATAGACATTGTCCTTAAATCCCTTAAACAGAAAAGAGATTAAGTTATTTAACAAAGTGCTGAAAAATTAGCTGCAGAAGAGCTAAAAGAAAATTACTGTGGTGTTTATTGAATGTTCAATTCAAATGTAAATCTTATCCTCAGATGACCGACTTGGTGACACAGGCTAAGGCAAATTGTGCTTACAGTAAAACCTCTTTCGATTTGGGCAATTTCAACTTAGGCTCTACCAATTTGGGATATGTGGGAATTCAGTCTACAGTTTACCTTTCCCCTAGGTAAACAGAATGGCTTACTTAAGCAAATTGATATTTTGAACCATATCTTTTAGTTTTCAAGTATCATTTACATGTAATTGATCTTAATCACAAGTTAATCTTATCCTATTCATTAAAACCAGTCTCTGTAACATTGTTATTCAGTGAATTAACCTAATTTTAATGATTTGTGTAAATAACTAATAAATGTAACATTTATTAAAAACACTGTCTTCCAGAATAATCATCAGATCCCCAAATTAGTATAAATTAAAGACGTTTTACTGTCTTTTATGACTGCAGCCACACAATGCAAAATTGGTAAGGGATTAATGCACAGGGAAGCAGGTTAGCTCCACTCCACTCTGAGTTACTATAATTCTTATATGTCTTAGCCAACTTCAAGGTTTTTATCTAACATCATCCACTCGGGAAATTAAATACTGTGTCTGTCATTTTTCAGTCAAGTGGAATCCTTCTGAGAGGATTTCCTGATGTACTCAACAATTTCTCCTCTTGCCACCATACGTCCCATTTTCCTTTCCTTCCCATACTTTCAGACAATCAATTTTTTCCAGGGTGGTTTCTTCAAGCTGCTGGAAGCCCAGGAGGAATTGTTGGCATCTAACTTCTTACCTCTACAACCCAAGCAACCCCCTAGGATTTTGACTAGGAAGCAGTGGTCTCGGGCGACAGAAGCCAAGCAAGAAGACAAGCCTCGGGGACCATGGGGTTGACAGTAAAGAACAGGGATGAGGCTCACAAAGGCCTAGACCACCTCTGTGGCAATACAGATGTTCCTACAAGGTGGGCTGTTCAAGAAGGACCTCCAAACACACTAGGAAATGGTCCCATTCTCTTGTCAATTGAAAGAGAATGGGCCTCAAGGCCAAGAATCTTCACAGGACTGTCTGCTGGATAGTAATGAAAAATGCCCTTTCTTTCAAGAACAAGAGCATTATTAAAGAGGGGAGAGGAAAAAAAATGCCCTGAGATTACCCCAGTACCTACAGAAATGTGACATCCTCTACCCAGAAGCTAGAACTTTCTTTCTTGTGCTATGAACTGGGAGTTTGTTTTTGTTTTTGTTTGTGGTGCTGGGGATGGAACACAGGGCCTTATGCATGCTAAACAAGCACTCTACCAACTGAGCTATATCCCCAGCTCTGAATTGAGAGTTTTTAAGTGGGGTCCATAGGCAGGCTAAAATGTCTACAGACAAAATTTTTGTGACCATAATTACCACATTTACAAATGGGTCTGTGACCTAAAAAAAAAAAAGGGCCTCCTGCTGTAGAAGGTAGAACCAGACATGCTAGAAAGTCCACTTCAATACCCACTAGTAAAACGGGACTACCTGGGGTAGGAAAACAAGAAATCCAAGCACTTTATCCTTCAAAAGAAAGTAGGCCACGACAAAAAGGAGTGTCCTGTGAACAGTGAAGCACCTGTTCCCTGGTTCCTGCCAGACTGGACACCATGGTAACAGCATCATAATCTGCTGGGCTTCCAGAAGAATCTCAACTGTCTCTTCTCAGCAAACACCTGCACCTTTTCCAGGGACGCAAGAGAGAGATGTACTCATCATGCCTCATTAGCCTGGAGTGGCAGTGATTATGCACATGTTGTGGGCGAGCCAGAGCTTCCTGGATTGAACCATGACTGGCAAAGTAATCAGCACTAGCGATTACAGAGACATAGCATTCCTTGCCCATCCATTCTGAATTACAGCAGGGACAGTGTTACCAGATAAAATACAAGATGTCCAGGTAAATTTCAATTTTAGATAAACAACAAATTTTTCCAATTTAACTGGGCATCATATATGTTTATTTGCAAAATCTGGCAATCCTAACACCCAGCAAATACCTGCTAAACAACTCCCCCCCACCCCACCTTCAATTTAAATCGAAGGGAGCTCAAGACCCATCCTGAACCCTAAAGCACCCAGCTCAATTTACCAGCTGACACTCAAGTAGCCATCCCAAATAGCTCAACCCTGGTGAGATATTAGAATCACCTGGAAAGCTTTAACTAGTACTCCAAACCTGGCCATATTCCCAGAGGTACTAACTTAAGCTCTCTAGGATGAGGCCCTGGCATCAGTATCTTTAAAACTGTTAGCTCTTACACTCAGAGCTCATCAGAACCTTCTCAGATACACTTACATGCAGATGCCCGGGTCTTCCCTGAGAGTTCCCATTTGGTGGGCTTCAGGTAATCCTCAAGATATTATGAGCATTTTAGAAGTGGACCTTGAGCCACACTTTAAAAGACCTTCCCAGTCTAGATCCTGACTACTCAGTATGGTCCCCAACTCCCCATCACAGTAGGGCTTGACTAGGAGCTCACTAGAAATGCCCAATCACCATCTGCATTTTTAAAAGTTCTCCTGATGATTCTTCCATGAAAGCTTAAGAGCCACTGATCTAGATATTTAACCATTTCTTGGGAACTCCACCCAGCAGCATGATATATTCCAAGCCCTTTCTGAACTAGCCCTGTTGCAAGGATCCCTGTGTCTATCTCAGAACTAAGATTATTCTCAAGACACAAAAGTACCTAGACAACTTTTTGTTAGCTTAAAAACACACCAACTTACCAATATCAAATTTTGCATAATGAACATTTGGTGTGCTTATAAAAGAAATGCATGTGGTTAAAAAAAAATGACAGGAGAGGTAGGGGATTTCTAAGTACTTGCAATTATTTCAAGTGGTTGCACAGAAAATAAGAGAAGGTATCATAAAGTGAGTGTAATTAGGAGTAATGGAATAAAATTAAGCACAGGAAAATTTACTCTTAGTATTGGAATAATTTTTTTTTCTCAGCAAGGTCAGTACTTCCTGTGGTTCTTCCAGAAAATGTCTAAACCCCTTTCTCCAGGTTGAGTAATTTTCAAACTAGACTAAAGGGAGCATTCGGAAATAGGTTATCGAAAAATCCTTTACTGTCCAGGCATTGATCTGGATGATTTAATACAGCATTTCCATTACTGGAATTAAGCATTTACTCTTGCCAAAATGCCTTCCAGTTGTTTTATTAACAAGGATTTTCAAACACCCCTTTGAGGTCAATAAGAATTTTATTTCCACTTTTACGTAAAGAACTTGGGGCGCAGAGGTAGAGGGACTAGGCCAAGGTCATTCTGCAAGATAACAGCTGGTGTCTGTGAAGCCCTGGTCCTGCTAATCTCTTAAATCAGGCTTCTGAGTTAACTCTGACTCCTCGGGGGTTGGGAGAAGGGGAAGATAACAAATGGATGATTATTAAAGGCACTCGTGGATTGTTTTCCAATGATCAGGAGACTTACATGGGAATTCTTGTAAATAGTCTGACATTTTAGTGTGTGCTGGTAAATATAACACACTGTGTCCTTGCATGAATTTAGCTTTTAAAAACAATGTAATTGAATTAGGTCCCTTTGATGGTTTGTTCAAGTGGTATATTTGAATTGGTCTGAATTGATGTATTATGCTAAATGACTGGCTAGTCTGAAAAATTCCCTAGGGGTGAAGTTTTCATAGTTTCCTTTAAAACAGCAGTTCTCAAACTTAAGTGTGGACTGGTTAAAACAAGTTCTCAGATGCTGCTGCTGCTTCTTCTGCTGGTACTATACCCATATTTAGACACTGCATAGTGTGTGGTCATGCTTCAAACACCCCTTCCCCAGATGTTATCCATTTCAATAACATGAATATCTGTAAACTATTGCTTTCATAACACAAAGGCTTCCTATAAGCAAGACTGATCTGCTTGGATCTCACCCTTTTATCTGCCCATTTTTAGACAAGGGAGACTAGAGAAGGAAAAAGTGTTTAAAATGAATAGGCGCATTGCTTACATCTCTCAGACTATTAACTGTACTTCACTCTGACCATAAAGAAGTTCCAGGTCTCTCGTGTTAAATAAAAACTGATGTAAAGAGGGGAGGGGGAAGAATAATGGGAAATTCTTACCCCAGCATCATATTTCTTTAAAAATGGTCATTTTTATTGGAGTAGTGGAAAGAATGGTGGTAGATAGATTCAGGGTAGATGTGGGGAGAGATACACCCTCCATCACAGCCTTATTTTAAAACCCTCTGACTTTCTATTGAGACTGAAGTCAACCACATTACTCTGCTCCTAACTACCTCCAGTCAAGGAAAATGGCAAGAAGAATTTTATTCTCTCACTGAGCCCCATCACACCTAGTCCTCCCTAGTTTCCCAAAGGTGTGATCAATTTCAGTTCATCGTTTTTCCAAGGGTCACCATCTGCAAGTATATTTCAGGCTGTCTAATTCCACAGAAATATTCTCCAGGGTATAGAATCTCCTCCTCTATGCAACCCTTTTAAAAAAATAAATGCTATGTGAAAATGCCATCTTTCTAACCTGCTTACAACTAACACGTGTATAGGGAAGCTTTATCCTTTGAAGGTCTGTTCTCAGTTTTGGGGAATGAATAATAAATTGCTCTGCAATAAAGCATTACAATGTGATGAAACATGGCACAGGCTCCTCCCCATTCCCCAGCACCTGGGAGGATCTGGAAAAGCATGTGTGAAATTTCTTTCACCAGACACTTACTGGGTGGTCAGCGTCAAGCTCAGTACCATACATAAGAACTCTGCGAGAGCATCTGTCTAACTCAGAGATCTTCCGGGGGAACCACAGTACATCCTCTAGCTCTGTTGAAAACACAGTACAGATTCAAAATTTAGCTCACAGATTGCATTTTGCCCCTTGCAACATTTGTCAGATTGCAAAATCACCCAACAAGCAAAACCCTCTCTTGCCTTCTTCCTCTGTCCAGATGTTCTCTGGGGGATTCAGCGTTACAATGGTGGTTTGAAATTTCAGCAACTGTATGAGCTCATCAAATTCTGTTTTGCCACACTCACAGTCCACAAAGATTTCAACCTCAGAACTTCTTCGCCGGGATCTCCTGGATTCAATGTGGACCATGTTGACATGTTTTTCCTGTTACATAAGAAATATCTCCAAGTCACAATTAGGTCACAGTAAAAGGAATGCTTTCCTTGTTTGATTCTGAAGCAACAAAGTATCAAATATCCACAACAAAGGAAAAGACAATTTTCTTATTCTTTGACTAACATGTGAATATTTTTCAAACTATTATCTCTATTAGTAAGAGACCTGTATAGTTATGCCTCTGTGTAGTTTGTCCAGTCTCATTAAAAATGAAGAGAGCATTTAAGATATATAAAGGGCCATATAAAATATCTTATAATTATGAGCATCACTGTTTCCCAGAGTGCTTCACATCCCACTGGTGGTGCATGAGTATTTTGGGAAAATTTTTGTCTATTACATTATCATCTAATCCCAAGATTTTTATCTTGTATTTTTATATGTTTCTGAAAAACAACTAAAACCCAAACTCCTGATTTTATAGTGATATAAAGCCTCCTTTTGAAATAAAGTTTTAAAATAACCTTTTAAATAAATCTTTTTTTAAAAAAAGTAATACAAATGGCAGGCCGAAGGGGGAAGGTTGTATGAAAATGCCTGAGGTGTGGGAAATACTAGCCAAAGCATAGCCAAATTGAAGGAAAAGAACAAAAAGCAGCAAAAAGAGGATCTGTGGGAGCAAAAGAAAAACAAATATTTACCACAGGAGGCAAAACAAAAGGTAAAATAAGCTGGGCCCAATGATGCACGCCTGTAATTCCAGATGCTTGGGAGGCCAAGGCAGGATGATCACAAGTTCAAAGCCAGCCTCAGCAACTTAGTAAGGCCCTTAGCAACTTAGTGAAACCCTGTCGCTAAATAAAATATTTTTAAAAGAGCTGGGGATGTGGCTCAGTGGCTAAGAACTCCTGGGTTCAATTCCTGGTATCACTAAAAAAATGTAAAAGGATAATCATCATCATCATCATCATCATCATCACTCCCAAATGGGATTACTAATAACTGTTCTCTTTTGGCAATCTCCAGGCCAGCTTTATTCAACTATCACTCTGAGATAGATGGATTTCCTTATAATAAGATGACAGGGAAAATAGTAATTCCATGCTTAAAAATCAGGTTTGAATTTCCCCTTCTTTTCCCTTTAATTAATTGAAGACTAGGTTCTCCTCTCCATCCCAACTCACTACCAATAAGCAATACATCCCCATCACTCCAGATGGTACACCCTGATTATCAGTACAATTCCTGGATGAGCTCAGAATTTTCCGCATAGGAGCAGGATAAGTAGCTTTCAGTGCCAGAATTGGATCAGACAGAGTCTTCTCCTGTATAAAGAAACAAGTCTTATGGGAAATTGTTCAAATGGTTTTTTATTATTTTAATATTTAGAAAATAATGCTCTATTTTCTAAATTGCCTGATAATATAAATAAGATTAAGTTCAAGGTTCAAGAGATTTCACATACATTATATCACTTTGGACTTTTAATGTCCTTTGGTTGAAGCAGATATTTTTAGCCTTAGGGAACTGAGGTCCAGATGGGTTAAGTGGCTTAGCTAAGGCCCCATGACTAGCTGATGGCAGAGTAAAAACTCAGGCTGCTAACTCCTTCTCCAGGGATTTTTCCACTATACCTAGCTGTCTAATTGAATTGGTTTTCCTTTGGGCACTGTATGGACACAGCCTGAGATGACATAATTGTGTATAAAATACTACCCCAGATTTCCATTACCACTGTTTATGATACCTGATCCTTTCTTCAAGGTTAAAAGGGAACAAGGAAATGGTTGCCAAATCAGGCTGCTAATTCCCCGTCTGTGATCATCGTAGAAGTATGATAATGCCTCATATCTGTACACATTACAAAGCATTTTCACTCATATTATTTCATCCCAACAACCCAGTCATTTGGGAATTATAACTGCTACTTTACCAATAAAGAAATTGAACTCAGGTAGCAGTTCGTGATTAGCCAAACCAGGAGAACACAGGTCTGAATCCCCTGACTGCAGCTCCAACTATCTTTTCTCTGCACAGCAGCCCAAGGCATCAAGGGCAGCTAGGCTTCTTATCTCACAGCTCTAATCAACAGCCAGTGTCCCCAGAGGAAATGCATTTGTAAGGGAGCATGTTTACTAATGGTTGGAGAATCCATCCAGTGTACATTGGCAAGAAAGCAATAGCTCTTCTAGGTTTTCCTAGGTTTATCTCCACCCAGGCTCTTTCTTGGGGTCCCAAATCACAGATTTGGTGCAAATCAAACTTCATACTTATGTTTTTTAAAGATACCCCATTTGGTTCCTTTGGTGTTTGCATTTCCAAGTGTGAGGTTCACTTTTTTAACTTGCGGATTTTCTTACCTGGCAATAGTCTTTAAGTTCCTAATAGGCTAATTCTGAATTAATTTAATTAATAAATCACAGTTCATGTGAGTGTGCTTCTTTCATTGTTTGGGAGATCAATTCCTCCTGTAGGGCTTCATGAAGTTTGGTTTCCTTTGAATCTCTCCCCACATTATCTGGAAATTGACTCAGTAATGTTTTGTAGCAAATGGCAGGTTTGTCACCAGAGACACCGTCATTTTAAAAGTTATGTGATAATGTTTTATATTCACCTGAAAGAGCCTCAGTGCTTTCACCAATCCACCCACTTCGTTTTTCAAGGAGAAAATGACAGCTGTCTTGCCACTCTCGGCAGCAGTATTGCTTTTGCTGCTTCCCTTGTTGCCTTTCTTGTCGTCATTCTTGCTAGAGTTAGCTTTATTCAGCTTCAAGAAAGTACAAACACACACACACACACACACACACACACACACAATATGTTAGGATTCCAGAGTTTTCTATCATCATTTTCCCACCCCAGCTAGATATCCCATTCATATGCCAGAAGCCCCACCAATCATTCAAACTCAAGGTGAAGTTGCCAGGGCACTCATAACTTTCATCTTTAAATATTGGTCTAATTTACTCAGGGATATTATTTTCCAGTACTCCAAGACAGCATGTAAAGTCTAGAGGTTGAAATAAAAGGGAGATCAGATTTGCTTCACTTTAATGGCAACAAAAATCTGATCATCATTAAGTATAAACTATCATGTATAAATAGTCCTTGCCTTTCTTTATCTAGGTTTATTTTACAGCACGAAATCTGCTCTTTTAGCCTAGTGGAATTATTCTTATGGAAACTGTATTGGTTGCTAAGCATAGCAAAAGTAAGAACATGTATGTATTTTTGACAATGGTAAATTTAGCTTCAATTAAGTTTTTAAGACAAAATATCCATTTAATCCTGAATACGTCAGAACATGTACTGAAACTGATTGCTTTGTGCAATTAGATCCACATTGTCAATGTGAATTGTCATTGTAAATCTAAATACACATGGAAGAAGTTGAGAAAAGAGGCCATCTTTGTCAGAAGATGGTATATGAAAAGTGACTGTTACAATTCAGCCATGAATAAAAAGGAAAAGAAGAAAAAGGAAGGAAGGAAGAAAACTAGCTAGCTATTAGGAGGAAACAGTAGAATCTGAGTAATAAAGTTCCATTAGCTAAAGACAAAAATGAAAAATGCTAACAACTCAGATCACAATGTCATAAATGCAGAATAAAAAAGCTGGAAACTTTTCATGTAACAGACAATGAGAAAATGTGATGGTCTGTTTCATGTTCTTTATATGTGAATGCAGAGTTTGGTAAACAGAGAACTATCTCCCTGGAAAATGATGATATAATACAACCACACCCATCCATTGTGTCCTGATGAAACTGAGAAGTGTATATTTAATATGGAACCAACAGAACAGTGACTTGCCATTTTCTTCCTCTGACTTCTGTACTGGATTTATTTTCATACATTAGTATTGCCTCACTAGATTTATATGTAATTAAAATGGATATTGTATTATTTATAACCTGAGGGAGAAGAATTTTATATAGACATTGATATTTGACAGTATGATTAAAAACTCAAATGTCTTTGTACTCTCAACATCTGCCTCTTCCTCACAGTATAACACACAGTTCTCAGATATTTAAGTGCCTCTTTTAATATGAAAGGATCATACATTAACCATTACTCTGAGTATTCTTTGTTTTCCTTCTAGAAGTTCATTATAACTTCAAAATTCCTCGATGTAATATCTCATCCAAATATTCAGATATTTAAATGTTAGAAAATCTATTTACATTTTTGGCCTCATTTTCACAAATTGATTTAAATAGTTCTATACAAGTTGCTGTGATTACTTTTCAGCATTTTTACACATAATAAGATACCAGTATGATGCATCCTCTGGCCCATATTTGAAGCTACAATATTAAAACAGATTTTTCTATGACAAACTGAATTGGAATTGGCTGGTGAACACTGATAGTACATGAGTGAAATGTCATTTAGTATTTTTAATGATTAGGAACCTGGATATATTTTTATTTCATTGCTGTGAAATAAAAACTACTATTTTTATTAAATCCCATGATTGTTACCTCAAATCAGGATCTAAAATCCTGCAAATACTGTTTTTTTAAAATTTTGTTAACATTTTAAATATAAAAATTCCTTTAAACTCTCAAGTGGAATACTGCTTACACAACTGCATCAATTAAAAATGGAGTAATGAGGAGCTGGGGATATAGCTCAATCGGTAGAGTACTTGCCTAGCATGCCCAAGGCCTGGGTTAAATCCCCAGCACCACTAAAGAAAAAAAAAATGAAGTAATGAGCCAAGCATGGTGGTCCACAACTGTAATACCAGCTATTCAGGAGGCTGAGGTAGAAGAATCGCAAGTTCAAGGTCAACTTAGGCAACTTAGTAAAACCCTGTCTCTAAAACAATATAAAGAGGGCTGGGGATGTATCTCAGTGGTCAAACACCCAGGGTTCAATCCCCAGTACTAAAAAAAAGGAAAAAATAAAATAAAATTGTGAGGCATTCAAGAAAACTTTTGAACCAAGTTTGATTTTTTCTTATTCCAAAATCTGCACTTCCCTACAAACAAGAATACAAAATATTAGTTCTGTGTTTAATGACTGGTTTTCATAGACTTGGAGTGGGTGTAGGACACACTATAAGCTTCTGGAAACCATAGAAATCTATTTCATCTCCCTATTCCTCTCATAATAAATGGGCTTTCAAAATTCTACATACTTTTTTTGGTTATGGATTTGGGACATTGGTTCATACAAACTCTCCTTCTTAATGTTTAGGACACTTCTACCTTGAGGAAAGAAAGTTTATTTAGCACGCAGAAGTACATCTGCTTTACTTTATGAAGAGAAGAGGCAGACAAAAGAGAAGCAGAGAATTAAGGTGTGTATATTTACTCTACACCAGGTGTCCATATGATGAGGATAAGACTAGAGCGTAGCCCTAGAAAACGCTCTTGAATGCCAGGTGTCCAGTACTCACTGTTAAGCTGCCAAGGAGCTGATGCTCTTCAGGCACCGCTGAATCCAAGGAAAACCCTCTTCTTGCCCAGTATTTACTGGAAAACATCATCATTGCTGGCTGCATGAATCCCAATGTAATTTTTTTTCTCAGCAGCAGGGGGAGCCTACAGGGGCAATAGAAGCTCTGGTGGAGATGCAGGGAGGAAGAGGACAAGCGCTTTTGCAGGCTGCTCGGAGTGCTGTCCAGAACCCTGGTGCTGAAGAGCAATGAGAATCCTCCCCTCCCCAGACTCCTTTATATGAGTGACTGAGAACTGATGGAAAGCTGATTAGAAAGAAACTCATTTCTGGTTGCTGATGGCCACAGTCAGATTACATATTTGAAGCCTGGGGTTATCTGCTCATGATGTGATTTGTTTGTTTCATAGGTCGAGTAGATATTTGGGCGGAGGTGGTGGAGAACAATACATAAAGGGATGTTATTTGAACAAGGAAACAGCTGTTCCTTGATGTTAGCACTCATCTCTTAGCCTGCTGCTAGCAGGTTAGCCTCAGTCTTTAAGTAACTATGAATTCAAAGGTTCTGTGCTTTCATTCTAAAAGTGAAGAAATAAACTTAAGATCTACTGTTTATGTTAATATTTTTTTCTAACCTGTGATGTTATGATTTTGTGTGTGCTTGTATGTGCAGTGGCTTTCATAAAAGGTACTGCTTCCTAATCCTCTCATCTCTGTACAGAGTGATGATCAGGCAACCTTATTGCAAAGAAAATGTGAGACTTTGATTTAGCCACCTGTAGATATAGCTCAAACACTAGCCCGAGAATATTCCTACCTGGAAATAAAAGGAAACTAAATACCTGTATAACAGTCATTCCTTTAATGCTTTTGATGGTCACTGAGTTTTTCCACTCCTCTTTTAACTAGATCAAATCCAGCAATTTGAAATGCATAGTCTAATCAATATTCTTACTAGTCAAACTCTAGAAAGAAGAAATTTTACCATGCCACAGAAAAATATTGCCAATCTCCTGAAAAATGGAAAATTCTTAACCAACTGTGCTTGTTTGACTAAAAAACTAAACAAAATCTGGAGCTGCCATAGCTTATCTATATAGAAAAAAAGATTAAAAATTTGAAAACAGGAGTTAATGAATTACTATTGACTAGGTTTTAATTGTTTCTGGATTCTTGGAGTATTTAATTATTATTTTCTCTAATTCTCAAAATGATTATTTGGCTTCTATTTCCTCAAAAGATCAGCTAATAAGAGAAGCAAGTTTAAGTTGAAGTAATGATCAAAATAATAGCTAAAATTACTAAGTGCTTAGTATTTCCCAATTTCTATTCTAAGAATTTTATATATACTTTTGTAAGTCAAAACATGATTAATCATCACAACAATACTTAAAAGGTGGTCATTATTATTTCCATTTTATGTGTAGATAAACTGAGGCATGGAGAGTTTAGAACACTTAGCAAAGATTCACACAATTACTAACTAAAGCAGAATTCAAATTCAGCCATTCTGACTCCAAAAGCCATGCTCTCCACCACCACATTGTACAGTCTCTTGAGTACTAAACAAGACATGTTAACAAAAGTAGGCTCTTCAGACCATACATAGATTATTTCAACTAGAACAGAGTTTGGGAAGATGTGTCATTTAATAAAATTTGTGTTAGGCATTGAACTAAATTCTGGGAATACAAAGATGAATGAGAGGTACCTACCCTCAAGGAGATTACAGTCTAGCTCAAAAAACATCTATGCAAATATACAAGTGAAACAAAACATATTGAATTCTTTACATAAAATATTAACAGCACATGGGACAGAGTATTCAATTCTAACTTAGAGGGATCAGAAGAGGGTTCTTGGAGAATCTAAGTTGAATCTTTAATTGTGAGTTTGTTTATTAGTCACAAGGAAATTGGAAATAGAAACGCAATGGTTCCATGCAAAGGGGACAACATAAGAAAATATAGAACCACTGTTGCTCAATAATGATGGTGCATAGGTATTAGGAAAGGATGACAAATGATGGGCTGGAGTTGTGGCTCAGTGGTAGAACACTTGCCTAGCACATGTGAGGCACTGGATTTGATCCTCAGCACCACATAAAAATAATTTTTTTTTTTTTTTTAATTTTTTAATATTTATTTATTAGTTCTCGGCGGACACAACATCTTTGTTTGTATGTGGTGCTGAGGATCGAACCCGGGCCGCACGCGTGCCAGGCGAGCGCGCTACCGCTTGAGCCACATCCCCAGCCCAAAAATAATTTTTTAAAAAGATATTATGTGCATCTACAACCAAAAACATATTTTAAAATTTTTTATTTAAAAAAAAAGGACTCTGAATGAGACAAGGCTAAAGAGGAAAGCAGGGTCCTTCAATGACATCATGTGGGCTTTGCACTTCGCCTTTTCTGATATGTGAGGATCACAACTGGAAGGGCATGAAGGTCACATAAGCATACTAATATTTTAGAAAAGTAGCACCTTGGAAGAAGATTTCAAGATTGAAGGCAGAAACCACATAGGATTTAAAATAGTCTAGCCAAGATGACAACCTGGCTTAAGCCAATAATATAAAAGATGCAATGAAAAGAACCAGAGATATGAAAGGGTAAATTCCACAGGGCAATATCCTGTTTGTATGTGGGAGCCAGGGGAAATAAGATATTAAAAGTCATTTATTGAAGACATTCATTGAAGATATTCAAGATTTAACTACTTTTTTTCTCTCTTATAAAAGCAACTCAATTCATACTACAGAATTCCCCAAATGCTCACATACCCTTGGAATTGGGGAAGGGGTAAATGAAGGAGAATGAACAACAGTCATTCAAAGTCTATGAAGCAGTCAGACAACTTTCAAAGCTTACAACAAAATTCTAGTAACCAATACAGTGTGGCAATGTCTAAGGACAGACATAAAGATAAATGGAATCAAACTGATAGTCTAGAAATAAACCCTATTGTTTATGATCAACACAATTTCAACAAAGTCATCAAAACAACTCAATGAGGGGGAAAGCAATTTTTTCAATTTTGGATATTCTGGGACAACTTTGGATATTCACATGAAAAATAATGAAGTTGAACTTCTACCTCACCTCACACACAAAAATTAACTCAAAATGGATTATAGACACAAACATATGAGGTAAAAGCACAAAACTCTTAGAAGAAAACATAGGAATAAATCTTTGTGACCTTGGATTATTTCATAGATATGACACCCAAAACATAAGCACTCATAGGAAAAAAAAAGGCAAATAGAATTTCATTAAAACTTAAAAATTTTGTGCTTCAGGGTATACCATCAAGAAAGCAAGAAGACTACCCACACTATAGGAGAAAATTTGTATTTGTAAATCATATATCTTATAGAAGACAGTATCTAGAACCAACAATGAAAAAAGAGATCAATTTTTAAATAGGTAAAAGGATTTATACAGACATTTCTCTAAATATATAGCCAATAGGCACAAGAAAAAAAATGTTCTGTCATTAATCCCTAGAAAAAGGCAAATCAAAAAACACAATGAGACAGCACTTCAGACCCATTAGGATGGCTGAAATAAAAAAATACAATGACAAGTACTGGTGAAGAAGCAGAAAATCTAGAACCCTCATACATTGTTGGTGGTGTTGGAAAATGGTGTACCCTCTTTGGACAATGGTTTGGTGTTACTCAAAACACGATACACAAAGTTACCATATAACCCAGTAACTTACTCCAGGTCTTTATAAAATGATGTAGTTCCTCAGAAAAAAAAAAAAAAAAGTCAGCAGTTCCTCAAAAAAGTTAAACCTAGAGTTACCATAGGGCACAGTCATACTACTATTCCAAGCTATACTCTGCAAAAAAAATGAAAATGTATCCATACAAAAATTGCATATAAATATCCACTTAGCATTAATAATAGCAAAAGTAGAAACAATTCAAATATTACCACCTGATGAAAAGACAAAATATCACATCATAAATGGAATATTATTTGGCAATATAAAGGGAGCTGGCAGTTAATGTTTCAATGTAGATGAACCTTGAAAATGTGATTCTAAGTGGACTGGGGTTGTAGCTCAGTGGTAGAAACACTTGCCTTGCATGTGTGAGGCTCTGGGTTCAAACCTCAGCACCACATAAAAATTTTTTAAAAAATTCAAAAAAACTTTAAAAAAAAGAAAATGTGATTCTAAGAAGCCAGCCATAAAGACTATGTATTTTGATTTTGTTCATGTAAAGTGTCTGTAAGATGTCTAAAAAAAAAATGCTAAGTCATTGCCAGGAGCTGCAAGGAGGAGGAAGTGAGGAATAGCTGCTGATAGATCACAGGGCTTCTTTAGAGAGTGATGAAATGTTCTAAAATTAGATATTGGTGATAGGTGCACAACCCTGTGAATATACTAAATACCACCAAGTTGTACATTTTAAAGAAGTTAATCTTATGGTATGCAAATACCACAAAATAAAGCTGTAACAGTTAAGACCTTTTATTTACCTCTCCCAGATAGCCAAGCCACCTCCCCTTTTACCCCCCTAGCTCCGACCCCAGGTAGATAAATGGAGTTATGTTCTGGAAAAGGGTAAAACAAAGGACCTCTAAAAGCACAGTTGAGAGCATGGGTACCATCCTGAAAAGAAAATGACTAAATAAATATATGTACTGGATTTTGAGATTCCTAAACCTCAGAAGGCAGAGAGCCAGAAAAAGGGATAAGCCTTCTTTGAAGAATCTGACCATGCCAAGAGGAAAGACCTCAAAATACTTAGAACCCAAGATTGCATTCAGAGCTCTTAAACTCTTTAACAGTGACAAGCCTCCATTTAAATATTTGGTAGAATATGAGGTTGGATTAGTTAAAATTACATAAAAAATCAGCAAATAAAAATCCTTGATAATAACTTCCAAAGAAAAATCAAAGGGCAAAAGAGGAACCCTGTGTCATCTGAGAATTGCATTTACAAAGTCATAATAGTATCAGTACTAAATATTGACCTAAATAATATTATAACAACTATGACAACAATGTGGTAAAATGGAAAGATAAGGAAGTAAGAATGTGATAGTCAGACAAAGGGAAGGAGACAAAGAGCTAAGCTCCCATCTTCCATGATGGAAAGTCAATGGTAATGCCTAAAACTGAAAATCAAAGTAGTAGCAATACATACATCTGCAACATTGAGATACAGAAGTAAATAGCAAAATAATCATCCCAAAGTTAGAAATCTTGCCGCTGAAGGGTGAACAGAAAAAAAAGGGGGACAGTTTCTTATAACAAGAAATCTTCTAGTAACCTTATGCACATGTAACAAGTGATTATAAATATATAAACTAAAAATAAATTGTACTGCATACGTAGGACATTGGTTTTAATAAACCTGATTTTAAATCTTGCTTTGTCATCTGCCTCATTGTGCTTAAGAAGGACAAATTAGGGGCTTGGGCTGTAGCTCAGTGGTTAAAGCGCTTGCAGGACATGTGTGAGGCACTGGGTTCGATCCTCAATACCACATAAAAATATTGTGTGTCCACCTACAACTAAAAAAAAAAAAAATTAAAAAAGGACAAATTCCCATTTCTCAGCCTTCATTTATGTAATGTAAGGGTGAGAATATCTATATCTTATGGGGCTGATTAAATTGAATGTATGCAGTGCTCCACGTGGGAGCTGGCAGTTAATGCATGCTCAAAGTGTCACACTGACCCTGAAACCAGAGTAAAACAATATTAGGCATTGGTTTGAAATCTTTGTCACAAAATGAAGAGATGTGGATACCTGGGATTTAATGAGGTGATTGTCCTCATAATCCAGACAAACAGGAAGTCAACAGTTATAATGTGAACTGACAGAATTGGCTTGGATCAGGCAGTTAAAGACACCAGGAAGTGAGAAAGGGAGGGGGATATTGTCAAATAAAGAAATCTCCAGGAAATTCTATAGGTGGAAGAGGGACATGTGATTATGAATGGCCATGATGGTAAACAGCTGAGATCCCAGAGAACCACAAAATTAGGCAAGTTTTATCTTAAAGATGCCAATTGTTCTCAGCATAGATATTTGTTGTGATAGAGAATACTAGTGAAAACAAGAGAAATACTATAAGCCACCCTAAACCACCTGGAACCTGAAGTGCATCCTGAGAAGCAGCAGAATACAGGAACAAAGAAAAAGTGATGTAAATAAACTGAGAGAATAAAGGAAATGCCGAACATCTGTGACCCACAATTGCAACAATCTAGCTTTCCCTCCCTACTAGTTGCCATTATGTAGATGGGTCCTCAGGGATTCGCCTTACTACCCTGGCCAAATAAGAAGGAACCTTGAAATCCACGGTCATCAAGGGAAGGATAAGCTTCAGAGGTGCAAAGAAATGTGTCTGGGGGAAAAAGATAAAAGGACAGACAGACCTAAAGGGAGAATTTGCTTGGTATCCCCAATGTGAATGGAGAAAGCAGGTGAGAAACTATTAAAGAACTGGGGGGAGGGGCTGAGGTTGTGGCTCAGTGGTAGAGCATTTGGCTAGCATGTGTGAGGCACTGGGTTCGATTCTCAGCACCACGTATAAATATATGAATAAAATCAAGGTCCATCAACATCTAAGAAATTTTAAAAAAAAATAGAGGGGATGTGAGGATATGGAGATAATTGAAAGGGAAGCTACACTGATTATCTTGAGATTTGGATTTAATAAAAAGTCTGATTTCCTTGAATAACTTGTCTTGTTTTAAGCCATCATTTCAGTCTACCATGTGTGTGTCACAAGCAGGTTTGGTATGTATGCCTTCTATGCTTAAACCTATGTTGAACAAGGAAAAGAGAAATGGCACACACGAACCTAATGATCAGTTTAGCTGGAAGTCTTTTTCCATTGATACTGATTCCTACAACTTGGGAATCAATAGAATCAAATACTTTAGGCATATATACTCTATGTTCCTTGGCAGTTGCAGTTCAACATTATTAACATTCGCTTTTAATTATAATTAAAATAAGTTTATGCACTATTTCCCATGATTTGGTATTAATTTATTAATAACAGGAAATGACTCACTTTTAGGAAACTCAAGCAGGCTTCCATACACCAT